TTACCCAATGAGAAGCAACATTGACAGGGGGCGAGGGGGGAGGCATGTTCCAGCGAGATTTGTCCAGGATTGTCTCTAAAAAGTCCGCCTTATCCTAAGCCGGTTCGTAAGTGTGACTTCACTTCAGTTTTAACCATGCCCACTGTACACGTGCACTGCACATAGGGTTACATGCATTGATCTCCAGTATACAGAATGGATAGGACATTGCGTCTAAAACGCGTCCCGCGTATGCGTATATTCAGGAGGGTAAATGACGAGCTTTGCGAATTTCGTTGCGTCTACTTTCAAAATGGAGTTTCTTAAAAACCGGTTGAGGTTTTTCGTGCTCCATCCAATCGTCAGATTTTGAAGAAAAACTGAATTCCTCACTTGGAATGGATAAATTTGGAAAGAATAATGGTTGAACTGTACGCAGCAGTGAATTACCGGAAATCAAGTCAAGTCAGGGTGTGAGCTCAACTTTTTAAGCTGATTAATATATGAATGAATTTTATTTCCATTTTTTTTCACTGGAAATTCAAGATTGTGGCCAGAAGATCACTTTTCGTTTCAATGTGATGGGGGTTAGCCGCGAAAAAAGTTTTTTTCGCCTTTCCCCAAAGATACTTCAACTCTGAAGGTAGCTTTTTTAGCCACCCGCCTCTATCCAAAATGGGCCCGCATTTGGGGCTTTTTGTACAAGAACAATGAGCTTGCGCGCAGAATTCCAACCATTTGGTTAAATGCGTCCAATTACGACTGTGCCTCTCCCACATTAATTTGAAATAGCGCCCTCAAGTTTCGGGTTACACGTTACATACGTGTACCGTCTTGTAATTGTGTGTGTGACATTCAGGAACTAAATAGAAAAACTGTACGTCTGTCGTGTTTGCCGAATTACTTTTTGGGGGAGGGGTCTGGCTTTACGCCCTCATCCCCCAGGAGGCATTACTGAACTACCCATAACCTGCAAACCTGTTTGAATAACAGGTACATTTTGGAAGTACTGAGTGAGAAAAGGGAGCTCCTTGACTATGCCATTTTTGTAACTCCAAATTCCGATATTAAACTGATGGCAATGAGGCACGGGCTTAATTAATTCAAATGACAACATTACGTTTCAGTCAGCCTGATCAAAATTAAGTCTAAAGTGGGTTACCGTGGGGGGGGGGCAGAATGGCCTAGGCGCTTTTTCAAGCGACAACGGGGTAAAACCTAATACTGGTTTGATATCCATTGCAATCTCGATGCCGTTTTCAGTTCTTGAAATTCCAGCAACTAGGGATTGTTCCTTTCTTTCGTTTTCATTTCATTATTTTCCTGCTTGTATTTTTGTATTTTTCGGGCAGACCTGTCTGACTAGAGTAAGTGATGGATCAAACATTTACATTCAAGAAAAGGAGCGGCAGATGCAACGCATTTGTGGCAACTTTTGGGGTAACCCAAGAAGATATGGGACGTATCTTTTGTGAGAATTTTTCTTGAAAAATATCAAATTACTCTGCGGTTGAAAGCAAACGAAATTTGTTGTTATAACAAATGAAAATGTATTTCCATCGATAAAATAGGAAGGTGAGTGCCGCCCGACTGTGCCACCCCTGGATCTCTTACTATTGAATCAACAATAATAAACATTATAAAGCATCAATCCTGCAGCTCACTGTATTCAAACCTAGAAAATTGCCTTGTGGGTTCTGCGCCCAGGAAC